ACAAAAGTAATATACCAGAGAAGATGAGGAGGATTTCACGCGTACAGAGTATTCGGATCTCAGACGAGACGGTTACAAGCACTCGAGCGCCGGACAGTGAGACTGTGACATATATGCTCGCGTGTATGCAGTTGAGCGAGCGAGTGTGCGGAAATATGGCACCTTAATTTTCACTGGGACTTCACATCTGCTCCATCAGCACTCTGTTCCAGCCATTTTCTGCAGGAACAAAAGATACACACGGGATACACTGATGTTTGCTTGGGTATTTACCTGAGGGGACACGATCATATCTTTCTCTATATGAGAGATATATGAATAGCGCGAAGGAGCACCGGTGGAACTGAGCGGAGTATATGATATAGTGTGTGTATGGACTGCACTCGCGCGCGCGCCCGCATCAGTATATTATACACTTAGAGCGCATTTATATATATCCGCGACATGAACGAGTGTACTACATAAGCGCGCGCACGCACGACACGCTTCACTCACTGTGGCGAGCTGTGTGCGAGGTATCGCGCGACGGGAGATAATGGCGTGATTGTGCTACACGCGTGGCTAGAGCTGTAGGACTTGGCATTCACAGCCAAAATTGGCGCTCACGTAGGCTGGGCGCGGCGTCTCCGCATAGACCATTGCATTGGTACATCCACCAGGGTTGGTACACTCTTTTGGAAGAGAAGGTGCTCCCTAACAAACGTCAGTGCGCCGTCATTGGAGGGTTCCTCCTGTGCCCAAGCAACTCGCTGTACTTGGGGGTAGGTTTGGATGATTCCCTCCAGCTGATGACTTGGAAATGGAGCCAACTGTTCCAAACGAATCAGTGCGACGTCTGCAAACCCTTTACCTTGTTCCCTTATTTTTGCCAGGTCATAGTACAGCTCCCCACAGCAGAGGAGTACGCTGGACACTGCCTCCTTGTTCCCCCTTTTCCAGAATGGATCGTCTAGCACTCCAACAAAGTGTTTGGGGGCGGCATGTCCAGATTCATCCAAAAGAAAATCTGACAAGGGTGATGCACCAGCTGGATTTCTTAGTGCGCGCTTTGGGGCAAGAACAATGAGTGGGCGCCGAAAGGACCAAACTAGCTGGCGGCGCAGCAAATGAAAGTAATTGGAGGAATCGGTTGGGCAAGCCACAATAAAGTTGCAGGCTTGAATGCTTCTACTGGGTCTGGGTCCCCCGTTGGTGGGGAATCCGCCTCGGACCATGACGAAGCGAACATTTGCAGCCATCGCTCAGGTCGACAGCTCGAATGATCAGGCCTGGTGAAGAAAAAACAGAATCAAACTCTCATTAAATATAAGCAGCGGCAATGGACCCAAAAGCCAAGCACCCTTGCTTACCCCATCCCATCGTAGCCATGAGGCAACAGCAACACTAGATTTGATTCTTCATTCCACTTGGAGGCCGAACTGGATATCAAAGTATCAAAGATTACCTGTGCTTCATCTGAAAAGTCTCCAAATTGTGCTTCCCATAGGCACAGTGAGTTCGGGTTACAGAGAGACCAGCCAAACTCGAAACCTACAACGCTGAGCTCCGAAAGAGGGCTGTTGGCAATCTCCAAAAGAGGTGGAACGGCATGATGCTCATGTCCTTGTTTTGCCATGTCATGCCACACAGCATGCCGCTGCGCAAATGTTCCACGCTCCGTGTCTTCTCCTGTCAGTCGAACAGGAACACCTTCTGTGGCCAGGCTTGATAGTGCCAGAAGCTCTGCTGTTGCCCAGTCGATCCTGGTCTCCGGAGGCATTGCCAGGATCTTCTTCCGAGCATCGACCACTCGCTTCACTATTGGGTGCAGCTGGAACTCGTCAGGGACAGTTGTCAATGGTGCCAACGCCTCTTTGAACTGCGCCTCGGGCAGGCTCGTGTCAGAAGGCCTTGCCTTGATGTTAGACCAAGCACTGCTTCCTCCGCTCCCCGTTTTTTGTTCATGGGGCAAGTCTCCGGCTTCTTGGCGCTTGATTCCTTTTGCAGCTTGATAGATTTGGTCTACCTCTTCCTTTACGCCGTCTATCTTTGCTAACGCCAAAGATGCAGGATGGGCTAGCTCATCCATGAACTTTTCGGTAACAGATTCCATCTTCTTCACAGTCTTGTACAAATCTACGTTTGTCATGGTTGGATCATCCAATTCATTGTGCCCATGCTTCCTCCATCCGACCAAATCAATCAAGATATCTGCCCCAAAAGTTTGACGGTACAACAACGCAATCTGACAAGCACGAACCACTGCTCTTGGTCGGTTTGCGTTGACGTGAAGTATGGGGGCATTGATGGACTTGGCAACGTCACTTGACTGAGTGTGTAGGAAGCGCTCACTCTTTGTCTCGGATAGCTCTGTGGTGTATCCCACTTGATTGTTTAGAATCATGTGAATGGTTCCGCCGCATTCGTAATGCTTGCAGGTGCTCAATTGAAGGGTCTCCTGTATGATTCCCTCTCCACAAAAGCTGGCGTCGCCATGCAGTGATAGCGGAAGGACCAAATGAGTCGCTAGAGGGGATTGTGTGTGGTGAGCTCCCTTTTTGGTTTCGTCGTCTAGGTTTCGAGCCAGCTCTTCCGCGTGGGCACGGGCTTTTCCCTGCAATCCTGGTACCATCGCCTCGAGGTGAGCCGGAATGGGCAGCAGCTCTATCAGCCCATTGTTAGACGATGATGAACCCAAGCAGATATCGTCATATGTAGGTCCAGAAGTCGGATCCCACTCGGATATCAGCGTGGACCAATTCGTGTGGAGGCAGTTTGCCAAAAAGTTGATTCTCCCGCGATGGGTGGTCCCTAGCAAAACCTTGCACCGTTCCTCTGCAGCAGTGTTGGCAAAAGTTTCCACGAGGGTGTTGATGGCCAAGACTGCAGATTCCATGCCTTCAATACCAAACGTTCGAGCATTGGAATAGCGCTCGTGCAATAGCTGTTCAAATAGTTCGGCTCGATACAACTGTTCAAAGATCCAAGCGTCATCAAACTGTTGCAAAGCACTATTCGGATCTTCTATAATGGCCACAAAGAATGCCCTCTCAGCCTCGGTACTGCAATGCTCAAACTCGTACCCAATGTGTCCACAATAGGAATGCACCAGCTCTGCGACACAAGCAGCGTCGTCCTTGTGGATGGCAACATGTTCCGACAATGCCTTGGCAAAATCTGGATCGTTGCACTGATAACATCGAATATCCGTCAGCACGTCGAGGACGGTCACCATGGACTTTGGAATGCACCGTTCGACGGCAGACCGAACCGACAACAAGCCATCCGGGCGAATGGGATTGACATTGGCCATTTGGTATCCAAATCGTTGAAAGGAGCTCTTCAATGCTTCTTGATGCCTTTTCGCAAGCAATGATCGGGGAACCATCTCAATAGTGTTGTCATGACTGAAAGCTCCACGCTGCTTTTGTGGATGAGCCATGGAAGATAGCGATGCTGTCCACACCTTGTTTTCCAATAGTCTTGGTTGGATTGGTTGCCGCCACGTTGCGACGGCCGATGGATGCAACAGACGGCTCCTGCTTCCCCATCGAGAGACGACAGTTGAGATTCTCATCATGTTCCTTTACTGTGTTTGGGCTTATCGTGGGTTGTTTGTGTCGCCTCGATCTTGGCATCTTTGACGTCTTGCCTTGAGCCTTCTGAAAGGTGTGCAGCAAAAAGTGAGAGCGCTAAGGTTCGCTTCGTCCCAGATCATTCGGTTCGCTTCGAGAAGGGCGACATCAGGGTCTGGTTCCGACGGTCACAAGAAATCTTTGCAACGGCAGCCTTACCGAATTTTTGAAGGGCAACCTCCATCCATCGAGCTCCTCCATGCGTGAGATAGCCATCATATTATAGAAAGACTTCAGACTGGACCCACCACACATCATCTCATCACGATGGTAAAGTTTTCAGGTACCTTTGTTCTGTGCCTCGTTGCAGTTAGCTTCTTCGCGGGGTCTCTGTCATCATCTAGTAGTTGGGGAGAGATTAAATCCAAGCTAGTGGAAGATATCTCATTGACCAACCAACGAAGAAGTCTCTCCTTAAACGCTCCCCATACAGATAGCAGTCCAGGCACCACAGAAAGCAGCAGTGGCTGGCCTGGGCAAACGCCATCATCGGAATTGGGTCATCCATTGGTGCGCATTGGCCATTCTTTTCTAGACGACAATCTAAAACTTCTTTTGCTGCGAGAATGGGACGACTTTATTTCCGTCTACAACTCTCGTCATGACCGAAACAATATCTGCGGGATGCGAGTGAACCATGCCTATGCTGTCTGGCTGACAGTCCGACACCTCAAGCCGAGTACCATTATCGAATCGGGGATCAATGCCGGCCTTTCCACCTACTTGCTAAGGCATGCGGCCCCCAATTCTACACGTATCTACAGCATTGATCCCCGAGATCAACCCATTTGCAATCAGCCTCAACGATGGATCGACCCATCGCCATTGACCACCTATTATACTGGGGCCAATTTCGTCGACTTGCAAAAGATTGATTGGCAGCAAAAGATTGACAGTGGAGAGATCCAAGATCCTGCCAACACTTTAATCTTTCAGGACGACCATACCAATTCCTTTGAGCATGTTCTGACCTACATGAAGTATGGATTTCGTCACGTGCTTATGGAAGACAACTACCGTCCAGGAGAGGGAGGATCTCGAGTGGACAAGTCGGGATTCTCTCCCAAGCAAATGTTGGCGAGAGTAGATCCAGACTCGAAATTCTTTTTCTCCCAACTCGATTCTTACGCCGAATTCCCGCCACTGTTTCCACCCGTGTTGGCCAAGGATGCTCAAATTCCGTACAAGCATTTGTACAATGCCTTTTTGACACCCACACAATCCGTACACGATGTTCACGAACCGCTCTTTCGACCGGATCTGGAAAACCGTACCGAAGATCAACGCTTCTGGCTCCAGGCCAACGAACAAATGGGATATGATCCACAAGTCAAGGACAAGTACTCGTTTTTCCAATGGTTCCAATATGTTCATATCGCATACTTTCGGGTCAGATCCAGTAGCTTTGTGGGACCGTTTTTGGCACAACGAATGGAGATTGTGGTAGCCGATACTGTGTCCTAGTTAGATAGCTACGGTAGGCAACACCTAGCTAGAGATTGCGATACATTCCAGTGCTATCCTGATTGGAAGATGATGATTTTAGAATGCAATTTTAACTTCAAGTATCTAGATCAATTAAAAACAAACCATCCCAGAGGCGAGCAGACAAAAAGTGATTCGTTTGTACATGTAAGACTGAGAGGCTCTTGATCCCAACATCATCTTGCCCAATTCAGCCATGATGCAGTTATACATCGCCAGTCTTTGTTCTTCTTGTTGAGGATGCAGGAGGATCTCCAGAAGATTTAGCGCTAGAAGAAGCTGCAGTCGGCTTTGTAAAAGGAGGAGTAGGAGGAGAGCGCTTTGGAGAGCGAGGAGGCTTTGCTGGAGAGTGGGCAGCAGACGTTGCTGGAGAACGAGCAGCAATGGGGGGTGTAGGAGCCGAACGTGGGGTTCGTGGAGCCGAACGTGGGGTCCGTGGTGCCCCACCTGATGTTCTTGGAGCCGCAACTGGCGTTCTTGGAGCCGAACCTGGTGTACCTGGATCCCCACCTGGAGAGCCCCTAATGGAAACAGGTGGAGATAACGGAGACACTGGAGAACTCGGAGCTCCACCGGTGAGTATGGGACTAAACGCCGAAGGAGAAGGGGGAGGCGATCGCTGATGGCCCAAAACAGCCCTCTTGGCGTCAGCTAGAGCCCGACTGGCATCGCGTAATGCAGACTTGGCCCCTTCGAAACTCGAGGCAGGCCTCCTATTTTCGCCCGCCAGTGCTCGACCGGCATCGCGTAGAGCAGCCCTGGCCCCATGGAAACCCAGTGAAGGCTGTCTTGATCTCCAGCTCGATGGTGCTCTCCAACTCGAAGGAGCCGTTCCATCCACGGGCATCTTGGCACCTTCATATCCAGTGGAGTTTCCCGAATACGCGCTGGTGACGCTGCCGCTACCGCTTGTGACGCTGCCGCTTGTGACGCTGCCATCTCGTGCACCGGGTGAGTTTTGTTCCTTGGTAGGCTCTCCCGTCACTCGTCGCGTCACCGACGCAACAAAAGCGTCCTTTCGTTGAATCATGGACGCAACGAAAGAATCTTCTACGTCAGGGTTGTTGGCACGCCAAACCTTTAACTTGCGACGAGCTTTGATGCAGAGGTAGTAGATAAACAAGAGCAAAGGAAGGCCGAACACGACAACTGCCGCAATTCGCAAGGCCAGGGCCGCAATGTTCACTTGAGGCTTCAAAGTTTTGATGTAGGCACAGTCCTCCATGTCAATATCGTCCTTTTCCATTCCGCGCTCGCACTTCCCAGCATAGCGGTAGAGATCTTCACAGACATTCATGGTTTCTCTGTACCCTGCGTATTCTGGATTGTAATCGTATTCCTCCTCACTCTCCGCACTGTTGTTGTCGTCGTCGTCGTCTTCTTCTTCGTCAACTTGATCATAGTATGCATAGTTGCCGCTCCTGTAAGAGTTGCACGAGACGATCTCCTTGGTCACCAAGCTTTGTTCTGGAAGGGCGAAGCCCATCTGTGCGAACAAGACGTTGCAGGAACAAGTGAGTATTAGTACGCTTGCCGAACAAAAAGCAACCAGTCGCACAACCTGATCAGCCGACTTACTGCTTTCTCAAAGCTCTCTTTAGGTGCAGGGAAAGAGCACGTCTCATCAAGGAACGCTCCAAGGAAGACTCCGTCATCTGTGCAAGTTGCTCCCATATAGAGCGATGCAGAAGATTCTTGGCTGTACCCCATTTTGTGGCACGGAACCATTTGTAGAATGTTGATATCGTTGTAGTCGTTGTAAACGTCGTTTTCTGCGTCATGGTCCTCGCAAGAAGCCATGTCGGCATCAGACATGCAGTCGTAAACGCAGTATTCTTCATCGTAATAGTTGCTGTCCCTCCATTCTTCGTCGTATTGGTCCCGGCTGTCTTGTTCATATTGGTAGTACCGATCTTGACCTTCGACATTGTAGTAGTCGTAGCGATACTGCCCGTTCTGAGGGTTGTTCGCATATTCACCGTACATCAGATAGTATTGAGCGTCCTGGTAACCATTTTGGTACCCGTTTACATAACTGTACTGGAAGCCATTCTGATAGTTGTTGTACAGCTTGCCACCATAGTACCGTAGTCCCCTGCGACCCGCTCCATTTCGGTCATAGTTTTCGTTTGACTCTCCATAGCGATTTTTCTCTCGGCACTGGGCGAGGCACTTTTGTTGCTGAACTGCACAACTCTTGTCGGTCACAATGATTCCTTGAAAGGCTTCAACATAGTCTACCATGGGAACCACGTACTCTCCCGCGTGTCGGCATTTTTCGCCGTACGCATCGGGGCAAAGCTTGAACCTGGCCATCAACTGCATTTGCCTATCAAGTTTTCGAGAAAAAGCAACCAGAATGGTAAGACTACGTGCAAATGCCTCCAATTGTCAACCCTGATCGCTGTGTGAACTAACATTTCGCCTTGGTCATTGGTATCATATTCCCTCGCACATCCCTCGAACTTGATGCTATAATCTCGCATCCAAGCGTTTGCCGAAGCAGTCTCTGTATAACTTTCGGCCCAGTCTCCATATCCATACCCATCTCCGCCTTCTCCGTTGTATTGGCCTCCAGACTGCTGCTGCTCGTACGCATAGTCGTTTTCATCACCATTTCCATCCCAGTTATTTTCGCCGCCTTGGTAGTTGTTTTCTCCGCCTTGGTAGTAGTTTGCACCATTTTGCGAGTTTCCATTCCAGTTGTAATTTCCATTCCAGTTGTCTTCTTGACCACCTTGGCCATTGCTGCTTTGGGCTTCTTGCCCACTGTCTTCATCTTCGTCTTCGTCGTCTTGACCACCTTTCCACCACTGCCACCAACTTCCTTTCTGGTCACTCTCGTCTTCAGCTTCGCCGTTGCTCTGCTGCTGCTGTTCCAAGTATTCTTCATAGCCATAGTCGTTTTCATCACCATTCCCATCATAGTAGTTTTGACCACCTTGGTAGTTGTTTTGACCAGCTTGGTAGTTATTGTCCTGGTAATAGTTGTTTTGGCCGCCTTGGTTGTTGCTTCGATCACTTTGCCCGCTGCTTTGACTGTATTGGCGCCAGCCCCCGCTGTCCACATCATCCTCGTTGCCATCATCCTTATTCCACCAGCTACGAAAGTTCCACCAGCTGCTGGTTTTTCGTCTACCACTTTGTTGGTCTTGGCTATCCCCGTTGGCTTCGCTGTCATCGTACTTGTAGTGGCCATTCCAGTTTTGGTTGGCAACATTCTCGTTGTAATACGGACCTTGGTACGTGGTCTGGTATCCAGTATTTCCATCTCGGTTGTTTTTATATTGCTGCATACTGTTCATGTAGCTCTGCACGTCTTCATTTGCGTAGCCATCGTACCAACCCTTTCCATCTTCTAGCTTCCTGGCCTTGCTCAGAAGGCTCTTTCCCTGCTTCGACTCTGCCTTGAGCTCTGTTCCTGCGAGCCTTGCGTCCGTAAGGGCCACGATCACAGAGAAGACGATCGCCGCTGCGAAACGCATCTTGTTTTGACCTGACAACACTACCATTGCCTTGATCAAGTTGTTGTGGAGTGCAGTTTGTTGGAGGGATAAGGTCGAGGAGATACGTCCGTTTGGAGAATTTGGAGGAACTAGACAATCTAAGTGCTCCTAACCAACAGCTCAACGCCAAATTTCCAACCGACATTTAGTCTGCATTGCCTCCACATTGTCCCGGTCGCCTTTTAGAGGTGCGGGATTGCACCTCGAGCTCTTTGAATTTGGTGAAAATCTCGTAGCCTGCCCGTTCTTCGCGCACCTCGAGCGTTTCAGCCCGAGTTAAATGGTTGCTCGCAACGCTTTGGTGTTCCTAACGGTTGCATCGTTTAGGCAAAGGTCATCCAATCTACAGCGCACTTTCGCTTGTTGTGCAAAACCGGTGAGGGTGATATGGCTATTAGAGGCCCTCAAGCAATCCAAACGTCGTGGGATGACCATGATGCTTTGTAGATGGCCGCCAAAAGGGTCAGTGGAGCGGGATCGTAAACACTCTCACATGACTTCCTTCCATCAAATCCATCGAGGTATCATAGAAAAACCATTGCTGCGAAGAGGCACCGGGCATGGTGTAGCCCCATTGTCACTCATTTCGGAAAATGCCAACCATGTGGCGTACGATTTGTCCTCATCGACGAGACCATCGAACAACGCATCGTTCCCTCGAAATAATCAGCCCTACCAACTCGATCCCTACGGATCTTTCTCCTCTTCCTATCAATACGGAACGTACGCGATGCAACCTACTAGGGTCTGTGAACGGAGGGAAGAGAGACAAGTACGAGCACGTGAATGCGATTCTTCCAGAGGTCTGTATGTCTCAACGTCAGGGGCATCGACAAGCCTCTGGTCTGCGCAGGGAGCAATAAGCGACACACAAGATGTGTAGGGTACTACGTTGGGTTGACAAACACAACCCAATGGTGAAAGCTTTTTATGACTTGAGTGGGTGGGTGAAGCATGCACGCATTGTGGTGAACGGGAAAGGGTAAACTACAGTACAGTACGGGGTATGTCATACTAATAATAGGCAATGCAATCAAGAGTATTTCTGCTCTGAATAAGAACGCCATGACTTCTCCTTTTTATTAACACTGTAGCGGCTCAATCGTCATTCGAAATTCATTGCTGGAGTGACACAATCCTTCGTCTTGGTGAGAGCGTAAATTCAACGATTCTTTCGAATGACTGCCAAGAAGAAACCACCCGAGTCATGATCCTGTGGCCACAGTCGTTGGCAGCGCTCCAAATGGAACGAGTTTTTGGCGGAAGGAGGCCACATGGACGGTACCGCATGTGGCATTTTGGCTCGCGATGCCTCCTCATAAGTGTCATGCCAAATAAGCTTGGGAATTTCGTCGTCGTCCTCATCATCATCATCGTTCGATTCTTCTACTTTGTCGTCACGGTATTCGGCCACTCTCCAAGTCGAGATCCCCGGATGCAACACCAAACCCGGGAGCGACAACGATAGGATTTCCACTGCCGGTGTTTTATTGTTGTCGTCCTCTTGCTGCTGCTTGGCATATTGCTCCAAAGCTGCCGCCACGACGGCTTCATTTTCAATTGGATTCAAACTGCAGGTACTGTAACATATCGTCCCTCCCACTCGTACCAACTGCAATGCCCGCTGTAAGATTTGTAGTTGGGTCGTATGCAGGACGTGTCCTTGGGAGGGTTTCCACAGTTGCACAATGTGCGGATCCTTTCGAATCGTTCCATCGCCCGAGCAGGGGACATCGCAGATAATCACGTCCCATAGCTTGCTCTTGTTGTTGACAGAAGCAAAGTGTCGGGCATCTTGACACCCGTATCCAATCAAATTATGATTGCTTTTGTCATCGTCGTCGTCTAGTACAACCCCGGATCGTTGAATGGCATCTCGCAGGGTTTCCAATCGACTTTCCGAGACATCATTGGCCAAGATGCGCATCTTATTCTTACTTTCATCTTTGTAATACTGCAATAATGCCAATTCGTATGCCTGCAGTGTCTTGGATCCTGGACTGGCGCAGAGATCGAGAATGCGACGACGCTTGCCCGACAACGAAGCAAAGCAACCGGCATGTTCCAGTGCCCACACGGGTAACATGGATCCCAGCTCTTGCCGCGCAATGGTTCCATTCTGTGATCCATCCACCAGAAACTGTTTGAGTTCTGGATGACGCTTGCCCAGTTCTGCTTTGCCACAACGTGGAGTTTGGAATGTCAGCCATGGTTCTTCCTCCTTGTTTTTATTTTGGTGTTGCAATACTAATAATAGTGGCGTCACTGCACCGTTGGAAAATTGTTGTTGAATTGTGTTTCGCAAGGCTTGTTGTTGCTGGTCACTCAAGTGACGACGAATACGAAATGTGACGGGGAGTGGCGTTGACATGTGACCCAAAAAGGTCTCGAGCAAGCCAACGGTTGGATCTTTCACCATATGATGGTCCATGGCCGCCAGCAATGGATGCGAACGATTATTCAGAACTAGTTGGTCGTTGGTCTTATTGTTGTCACTCTTTGATTCTTTTGCAGCAGTTTGCTGCTTGGCGGATGTTTCTTCTGTAATACCAGTAGCGTCTTGTTTCTTGCGTTTCTTATTGCGTCGCTTGGAAGCCCGAGAGAGACCTTTGTTGGCCACAGGATCTTTCAGGGGATTCTCACTACTACTAGCAGTACCAGAGGAGCAAGACTTGGAAAAATCGGCCACTGTGCACGTCGGTTGTCCCGCATAGTACAGCACAAACAAATGGAATCCTTTCCCCGTTCTTCGAAACCAAATGTTCTCATGACTCTGCTGTTTTCCACGAGCATGCGAAAGAGGATTCTTACTCCGGTTGCGCTTCTTCTTATTAGTAGGTCTACTACTACTTGTAGCATCGTCAGCAAGATCTTCGTGGGCCGCCATTGGCCTCTCTTCTTCTCTTTGGCTGGTGAAAGACAATGACTGCCACCGCATGGCCACCCATCCATGGGACGGTTTTGGATTTTTAATTAAAACAGTGAAGCTGGAATATTTTGAAAAGCCTTTAAAGGACGGTGGGAACAAGCCGTACCGTACCGCTACGGATGACACGACAAGTGCACTGTGCTTCAATGGATATTCTTTGCTTCCCCCAATAGAGAGACAGGAAACCAGGAAATTAGACTAGTAGTAGTTGAAAGATAGATTTAGTCAGTGGTAGTCCGTTATTGGTGTTCTGACCAATGGACTGGTACTCCTTGATTCGACTCTCTTCTCTGAATTCCGTTCGGCTACTAGCTTTGGTTTGTTGATTGCTCCCTCGTCCAAAGGAGTATCACTAATAATCAAACCTTGCTCCAGACACTACAGTATCAACAATTTAGCAACATCGCTTGTCTTGGTTTATGCGACATCTCGCTCGTTTTGAGCCTTTATTATTGATATCGCTGTAGAAGCCGCCAGGTTGGGATGGTGAAGAATTATAACCTCCAGCCCCCCCATCAGGACAGGTTTGTCGCTCTCAGACCGAGACTTTCAAGCCTTTGGTTGTTGTTGTTGTTGCAAAGAGTGCCATCACTGTAAGATAACACGTATCGTACCAGCAGATGATCCTGGACCCATCTCGGTAAAAAACAATGATTCGATTCTATCCATGTATCCAGCCAGGTTCCAGGTGGACAAACCTTGCTCAGCTCCTTGCTCCTGTTTCTGCAAATCATTGTTCTACTGCCTGGCCAGCCTGGCTCTGTTCACCGCCAGAACCCACTTCCTACCGTACCGGTACACTACTTTCGGGCAAAGTAAGTGATCAAAACTTAGAGACGCTAGCTGGGTAGCTGCTGGGTGCAGGTTGATTGTCAGCTGCTCCCCCCCCATAAGTGAATTGTAGCTTTCTGTTCAAGCTGGAAATGTCAGCTGTATGTGACCAGAGCTAAAAAAATCTGCAGAAAGGGACCCGTGGCAACAAAAGAAGGAGAAGGGGAAGAGGGAGGCAGATGTGTTGAAGCAAATGACTGGCTCGGTGAATTTTGATCGGGTAGGTACCACCCTTCAAGTAAGAAAACAGAAGATCATCCGGTACCCAAGTCAATCCACCGGTGCATGATGGGCCGGGTCGGGGCACTAGCCGCCTCCTTGATCTTTGAGCTCAATCAATTGGGCGGATAGACGTCCCCAAAAATTGAAGTGGAGCGAGACCAACGAAGACCCCAACAAAAGCACAAGAAATGAGCACCCTGACCTACCCAAGTTAAGCCATCGCTGCCCGCCCCCTTGGACCGGATCAAAGCATCAGCTGTCCTTGAGTGCAATAATTTGGGTGGATAAAACTGCCAAAAAATTCCTGCTCCGACTCCCCACACCCCCAAAAAACAGAGATAAGCAACACCTCACGTTGCAAGGCCTGAGAGGTATTGTTCTCCAGGCCAGGCTGCTTCATCAGTGAATTGTCGTTTTTTCCCTTTCAAGCTGCATACAGATGAGGCGATATCTCCTCATCAAGGTCAATGTAATCAAAAAGAAGTCAGTTGAAACAGCAAAGCCACAACACAGATCAAACGTCACGATTTTGGCTGACCGCGTTCTGACCTCAACCGCAAAGTAAATAGTCCAAAATAACTACTCAAGTACATGGAAGGGGCCTGAGATGCCATCCCAGCTCTTCGTCGCTTTTCGTTTATGTACTCGTAGACAAAGTTCCTGGTTCAGAAGAGCCTTTAGAGCGTCGTCCAGCAGTAGTCTAGATCTTACACTTCTGGTGAAACATTCGGTACACAAAGGATGATACTCCAGAGTGGTGCCGTGAGGGTGGATCTTCAATTCGAGTAAAGGGTACACCTGGCATCTGCAGTTTTTGTCCTATGCGCTGCTCCTGAACTGGTACGGTAGACGCGGTGTGCCTCTGGCCCGGGTACCGCTGGGTTCGTCCAATCATCGTTTAGACAGTGTTCGGCATTTTTGGATTTTTTCCTCCCCGAACCTGACCAAACCTTTTTGCTAATCTTCATTAAAAAACGGCGGAGCCTTTTGCAGGTTCCCTTGTTGTGTCTGGTTATTAGTTTTGGTAAGTTATCAACAAGCAGCTCTTGGCCGCTGAAGTAAAGTATACGACGAGAAGAAAGCATTGGTATCTCACGCTTTGTTCCCATTATCCTCAGAAGGAAAATGCAAGCGTTGTTGAACTCAGAAGAATTGACGAGATTCCTCGAGGTCGTCGAATCCGACGTCCTGCCGAGCCAAGAGCTAAAGAGGTACTTTCAGAAGCATCCTTTCTCGCCAACTTTGGTATGTAGATGTCTGCCGAGCAGGAAGACTTTGACGTGTCCTCCCTCTGGAATGTTGGCACGGACCGTGGCCTCCTTATCTCACCCACTCGCCATTCTGCTCTACTCTTCAGAATGAAGGTGAGGTACCCCTCGCGGATGGTGCCTTCACCAAAAATCTTCTTCAACAAGTCGTTTTCCCCTTGATCGAGAAAGGAGGCACCATCGACCATAACGCCATGCAGAGGATCAGGCAAGATATTATTCTGATCTGGGTCAATGGCTTGGGTAGCAAGATCCAAAAGGCTCACTGCCAGTGGAGAGATTCTTACATGGAATGCATTCGTCAGATCATTGGTAAGTTCCATGACCATTTGTTGTTGTGTTCGGCTAAATTACTTCTTCTTCTTGTTCATCGGTTTTTTCTTGTTCCCATTCTCTTATCTATTCCCATTCTCTGATTATCAGACCGTCATTTTTTCCATGCCGATGGAAGACCTAAGCTAAGTCATCGAATGACCCGTACAATCCTCGAGATAACCAACATCGACAACCCCTGTCGATGGCAGTCGTTCGATACTCTCAAGGGAGTATTCTTTGACCTTGTGGTTAGTCCAGAGAGAGCCTCTCTACTTTCCAAGGACCAGGAAGAAATCTCACTATTGAACGGTCGCAGCGTTCGGGATTTTTTCACCCACAAGGAGGAGGCCATGATTCTCATGGTCATACGCAAACACTTTGTCCAGCGTTTGCAGGGAAGCCGTGTTTTGGTTGGATATTGGCCCCTTCGCACTCGCGATGGAGTAACGGATGAGGAGTCGATGGAGATTCCTCCGACATACCACCACAACGATGTCTTGGGCGACAACGTCTTGCATCGCGAGGATGCGCGCTACTATCGCACCTTGTCCAAGATGTTCAAGAAGCAGGATGAAATCGCAGGAGATTCTTTCATGGCTCGGAAGCATCATAGTTTGTCTCTACCGGGCCGCTACACCAAGCGCACTCGCTTGTCAAAGGATTACCACCAGTGTAGTCATCACCGCGGTTAACTTACTTGGAGTCATTGAGACATGTCATGGATTACAGGCCACACCGCAAAGGCAAGAAGAGGCCGAATGGAAAGATTGGAGTATGTATATTTGGAGGGGGAGAGAGAGACAATTGGAGATTCCGGGAGGGAGATATTTCAGAAAGGGGAAGCCAACGTCACAGGAGCACTAGTAGATTGCAGTGACCGGCCTCAGGTAGGGTGGGGTTCGGTGGGAGCCAGCGCACTTGACACGCGAGGGAACGATTGCATGGGCAACGTTTGAAGATCGAGGGCTACCAATCGGGAGGAGGAATTGAGGAATTCAAAGGCCAACAGCAGTTCGGAGCGACAGGAGTCAGAGAACATGCTCTGTAGTCTTTTAAAACAGAAAGATTAGAAACAAAATTTGACACGACTTCGGACAAAGCAGATCGATGGCGATTGCTGTATGGTACCTCAGTACTCAGCACAACGTACCGGTACCCTTCGGATGCCATGGAAGACAGCGCTCCGATTCAACAACGTGGGGAATTCTTCTGCGGTCCACCCGTATTCTTTTGCGGTGAGCCCTCTCCTTCCATTGATGAACGACGGTGACTCTTCCAGGGATATTGTAGGCTCCCGAGGTCCCCCAGGAATCTCATCTGGTACCAGGTAGGAGAGTTAGAGGGCGAGAGGAGAGGGCCTCCAAAGAAATCGAGATACGAGATCTCGTCTATTTTCTCATTTCCTTTCCGTCGATGGCCCAAGCTCAAATAACTCATGGAATGCCGAAGTCGCCGATCTTCCAGGGAATAACCCCGCATCCCAACTCTCAGTGTGCGCCTGATGGTGGTACTAAAGAATCCGAATCCGACATCAGCAACGTGAGCTAAGGCAGCAAGCACTGCTGTTTGAAGCGATTCAACGCTCTGTTTTGCTGACGGTCTTTACCGGTACCATTGTCATGGCATCGCACGCCCTTCAGCCCCGACTAGCTAGCTAGCTAGTAGACTTGATAATACATACATTTCTGTGAGCTTTTCGCGCAAAGCTCGCATGTGATTTGACCGTAGGTATGGTAGCGTAAAAAGCAAGTCATCCCAAGCTAGGTCGCGTACGTACAGTACAGTCGTACCCTCTTCCACTACTGTGCTATCCATACGTATGCCGCCCGCCTTGCACGCCAGGTGTGTACCTGCAGATTTCATTCCGCAAAACATAAAAATCTGGATGTATTCATCACCAATTTTAAGCATTTTCATCACCATTCATCACCAGTCACAGATTCATCATTTGCATCACCATTAATCACAATTCAACCAATTGGGGATGAATTCATCACTATTCATCATAATGTATAGTAAAACAGTATTAATTTTCATCACAATTCATCACCAGTCATCACGGATTCATCATTTTCACTACCATTAATAACCATTCAACAAACATGTGATGAATTCATCACCACTCAACATATTAGTCTTTAATTTATCATATTTACAGTAGATTAATCAAATAATTCATCATATTTACAATATTTCTTCAATTGCGGGACCTTGCTGGCAAGTCATTCTGGCTCGTCGGCTCCCACGGGGAACACAACACGAATGCTGTGTTTTAGCATCGAGCGAAGGGTTTTCAATGGGAGCTGCAGTTACGAGTTTAATAAAGGAAGTGGGTGAGACATGTAGAAAGTGTACCAGCGCTACAGCCCAAAAATGGCCGTCTTTTAGCAAATGACTGTCTCAATGTCCGATTGACCCATAAGTAGATCAATACGAAATCGACCTCAAGTACCATTGACGCATAGTATGTTACCCATACTGACCACATGATTTAGGATCACACACATTATGTTAAACGTGTATTTCATTTTCGCTATACTTTTGTCGAGATGCATAAATAGTTTGGTCCAACATTGAGTCCCGTTAACTCAGAGAATAGAGAATGAGACAGAAGGTTTCCGATATTGTACTGTTTTTGCTATAGTATCGCTGATGTCTCAAAGCGATGGACCAAAACCGACTTTATACCTGTACTGCAGTTACTGCAGTTGCCAGCTCTGGCAGTACTAGTACTGTAGCTAGCTAGGGTCTAGCTTTCCAGTACATGTACTAGCTAGTAGTCGCTATGGTAGATCTATACGCCGTTTCTAAAGTAAGAATGACACACACAAAATTTTCTAGGTTTGCCACTGCTGTCGCTCGGAAAGCGAAGGTTTGATGCCAAGACGTGGCGAGGACAGCAGAAGATCCGTGTGGCAGAATCTGGCTGGAGGAGCCTGAGGTAAAGGACTGCAGCTCGAAGCCAAGGATTTGTCAAAGCCACGAAAGGGTATTGCTTCGTTACTCCGGCCAATGACTGTTCCTGCTTCACTCATAGTTTCCTTGCAAAGGAACAAGGCGGATACGGTACCTCGATCAGCTACTAGTACTAGTATACTACTGAGTAGGAAGCCAGCTAGCCAGCTAGCTCACAAACTGCCAAAAGGGCTTCGACTCTGTGGTAACTTTTCGGTTGTCTGACTTTTTCGATTCAGTGCTTGGGCTATTGTGGTTCGGTACTTATGGAATGTGGGATTGTGTCGGCAGGCTTTGTAGATTTCGTTGCAGTAGTTGATTAGTTTCTCCGGCGATTCTCTGGATTGTTTCAGGATTTCGAGTCACTCCCTATTGCAAAGGCTGCAGTGTCGTCTCCGGATGGTCTTGACAGTGCTAATTGGATTGCCTTGCCATAGGATGCTCACTTCGATGCTGTTCCAATGAAGGTCCGGAGAGATGTCTTTGGAGTGGAAGTTTTGGAAAACATGGCTGACGTGCTCGCGTAGGAGTCTGATTTCCTACCTACTTTGTGTCATCTTTTGACATTGGTAAAGTGTTCTTTTCTTGAGGATTTGTTGGGTTGCCCCAATGTATCCCATTCCAGCGTGGTCCTTTCCTTCAGGAACTGCCATTGCAGGTTTTGTTTTCGAAGGTGCATGTCTTTTTTTTTTAAGCGCTTCCTGGAGATCGCCCATGAACATCTCTCTCAGGTTGGCGAATCAGAGGTAGGACATGGACGTTCTGATCCATTCGAGACTGTGGCTCTTCTTGATGCTGTTGAATATCTTGTGTATTGGGGTTGTCCGTGCTTTGGAAGAACGAAGAATGGCTCCGGTTCCTCTTCTGGTACTCATCAGG